CTGAACCGCGGTGGCAAAGCACGTCGCTCATTGTTCCCAAGTTCGGATGCGTTTGCAGGATAGTTTTAAATATGTTGATAGGGTGCTTGGTAGCACTTACACTGTCGTTCTGCCCATTTTAGAGCGGGAATATGCTTCTCCGTGAAGCTATTTCTGCTGCAGCAATGTGCATTTAATACATATTACAATGAGTCTCCAAGCCTCTAAGAGAACCGACACTAGCAGCCTCCTGGCGAGGATGCAGTATAATTAATAATGCTGTATTAAACCCATGTACTGTATCAGCTGCATTTCTAATTATAACTGTATTAATGGCAATATAAAAGTGTGCTTTAACTCTGTCGTGTACCGACACGTTATCACACCAATAACAAACAGGAGATTTGAACAATAAAAATCAAGATGGCATTGTCTTTACTGCTAGTTAAAACTTCTCTCTTCAACTTGATTTAATAAAGCAAAATTTTCCCTTATGGAATAACTGCAGTAGTCCTAATTTGAGAGATCATGTAAGACAATCTGATGCTCGCTCCTGACAACAACATGTACATCCCGTACGACAGCTTCCCAGACCAGTATATTTCTACTCTACTGCAGCAAATTAAGGCAAAAAGGGGGAATATTTTTCCTGTGCTCAGATGTACACATCCATGAGTTAACTGCACTTTTCATGAACTTTGAAATACTGTAATTTGGTGTAACAAAGCATTAATATACTATGCTCACACAGAACCTTCTCCTGTCCATTATATCATAAATCTGGCAGAATTAAGCGGGCCACGTAAGGAGTGCTTTAATTATAATAGAAATAAATAGAAATTGGAATGAACACAGGAAATAAAATGAAAACTGCATGGAACTATTCTGTTTATGCAATTCATTTACCAGTAAATAACTAAGCAAAGGGAAAAAATTGTAACATAAGAAAAGCAGGAGCTTCCCCAGTAACTTCTTCCATGTGTCTGTGAAGAAGCAAGGGGCTGGGACCAGGGTAGGACGACAGTGATGGACAACCCCCTCCAAAACAAAGCCTGCAGAGAACCACTTCAACCCCTCGCCTGGCTGGCACTACTTCACCACTGGTTTTCATTAAAAACAATCCAACGACGGAGGTGAAACCAAGGCCTGAGAACACCATGCGACTGCTATGAGGGGATGGCAAATTTGCAGATGCTCACATTGGATGAAGATGATATCTGCCATACAAACAACATTTCTTCATCAGCATTGCTGTTTAAGCCCCTCTTTGCTATACAAACCATTTGGACCACATCGCTCCATTACATTTTTGTA